GATTACAGAGCCTTTGGGTGTGGTAGTTGTTTACATTTTAACTGCCTACGTACTGAGGATAATATTAAGCCATTTGCAATCTTATGACCTTAAAAAAAGTGAAAAATCCCTTGCAAGTTGATAACTGCCCAAGAAGTTGTTTTTGATATCTTGAGACACAGTGATGTGAAGATAACAAATGATATAGATCTATCACCCACAGATAAAAACTGCACTTGTTTAATTTCGTCATCAATAAAAGTTTCACATCGCTACAACCCATCAATTTGTAGCAAGCAACATGTTTTGCAATGTTAATAATTTATAGCAATGATAAATAGTATAAAATCAAACGTGTCGCACATAAACTGCGCCGGCGCAGGGGGCGCTTGACTAATGGACGAGCGGCGTGCGCGCAGCCGAATACGTGACAATACTGAATCTTGGACATTGCGACTTTTATTGAAACTCGTAATCCAGCTTATTATACTTGCGAATGTAGTGACTATGATTGTGTGTCTTTATTTATTGTAGGAAAACGGAATAGAAATCGAAATCAAATTTCATATGCATGCAAAGGGTTAAAATGAAGGTGGCATTGACTAGTATGGTACGCCTTAGGTAGGTTTCTATCTAAGATCAATACAAACGAAAATGTCATATGCATTGCCCGCATTCGTTTGGTCAGTGAGTAAGATATTGGGAATCGGAAATGTAGGTACATCATGGGAACCAAGATTACAAAGCTCGCGTTATTTATTCAGTGTACTTATAAGTTGGAAAGTTGACAAAACTCGGGTGTGACAACGGAAACGAGACACACCTAGAACGCTTAACATTTTTCGATTGTGACACAAAAATAAATCTAAAAAGCCGACATGTTAATGTATTAACATTGTAACTAACTTTAAAATTACTCCATGCATGCTATCAGACAAGTAGCTAATAAGTGTAAGGAACAACAATAATACACGACGATGATTTAGGGTCGGAAAACGTACTTTCCAACATGGCCGCCGTTTATGAACTTCGAGTCTTACATTAGTTACTATATTACTTCATTTATAACCCTACCTACCTCGCCACAAGGTGGAAAATCCAAGATACCATTTTTTGCGCAAATAACTGTTAATTCCACGACACCGCCCTAAAGAGGGCACGATAATCATACTATTAACAAACGTATAAATGTTTATACACACGGAACTTCACAGAGAATCAACCTTGTAATTTTTGTTATAGGGAAGGAATTATGTGGGAGGAGCGAGGGGAACACTTTGTTTTTTGCTTTATTATGCCACTATTTATCCGCAACATTGTATTAACGATTTAGCAACTGTATAATAGTTCATTGCGGTTCTTATATATAAAGGTAATACATAAATAATATTATTTTCTAAATACACACGCAAACAGCGTCCACTGTATAATTAACGTTGCAAAATATTGTAAGTTGTCATTAGAATCACGTAGAGGTGCGATCTGTTCGTAATCGTTGCACAGTTTACCTTCAATTGAAGAATGAAGTTCGAATGAATGGGACGTATTTACCGAGGCCCTTGTCCAGTTAGAGTAAACCTCGGAGATTTCATTCAATCGTCAAATTCATCACTCTCTGTGTCAATACACGACAAGTTCCAAAATGAATTGATCAAATATAGGAAAGTGATAGAATTATAACAGCAAGCTGTGATATGACGATTTGTTGATTGAATGGCTGATGGGTTTGGTGATCGCAAACGTGGCTGCCGAGCACAAGATTCTGAGTAGAATAATCCAGGTCGAAGTTAGTCCTGTCGACTAGATCAACCCGGTTGTGGCAATACAAATCAAAAACAAGGCATGGCCACATCCGCGTTTGAACAAGACGAATCGTAATTTCGCGTTTATTATCAGAATCCTGGATTAACTAGAGCATTAGAAGTATTAAAACAATATCTGAATAGCGGCAGTATGGAATCGCACAAAGGCACCGTGACGCGTCACAAGTGGACCGATGTCGACGCAAACGCGCCGCAGTCGCGCGTGCAAATGTGCGATTATTGTGCGCTGCGACTATCGCAACACGTTTGTTTCGGTCGGAACCCGGAAAGATTGGTAACTATAGAGCTATTTTGAGATTATATTTTATTTAATTGGAAAACTACCGTGTAATCAGAGTCTCAATTTCTTTGCTATCTAAAAAAATATTGCAGATTTATACTTGCACACGAAATCAATATTAACTTGTAATTTGCTAATATTAGAGGATTTCCAACAAGTACTTTATTTATAAAATTAAAAGAACCCGTAACCGACGAGCATGTATGAAAAGACGACTGTTGATGAAGCGAAAAAGGTATAAAAGAATCGTAGCAATTGGCGTTCCATAGTCTCTGCGTACCCCCATGGTAGACAGGCGTGAAGTTATGTATGTATGTAGTATACAACTATCTATTCCGCAACATTGTGTTGCATTCATAAAAGCTCACAGTTTTATTAATCGTGATAATTTTACTTTGTAGTAAAAAGTTCCATCACAAAGGGCGAATACATAAAGCGAATAAATACCAATAACTGGCCGTAAACGGAATTCCTGCGACCTGACATCCAATTGTAATGCATTAACACATCCACTATGTTTCTTTGTAAGACCTGATATAGACCTATAGTCCTTTATTTTTCCCTATTGTATCGCAAATTGTAATATTTAGGACGAATTACCATGCTAAACTATCAAGCACAAAGGACCATGTTTGACGCCGTATGGCCTGAAGGACCAAAACACAAAGCCGAAATTAAACAAGGAATTGCTGCTTTTGCATTGTCTTTTTGTGACTCGTTCCCGAAATTGCTTCGTCCTTGAAATATGCGGTTAATTAATGGTAATTTAGAGTATAAGTCGGGTGTGTAATTCGTAATTCATCATACATATCAAGCATTAACAATAATATTGATATACCCTAAAATTTTTTTTATAAAATGGTTTAAAAAGGACCACAGGATCCTATTGTTAAAATGGTCCTTTTACACCATTTCAAGTTTAGATCTGTAGACGATGCAACTCACATTGATATTGACAACTCCTAAAGGCAGATACATCAATAACCCCCAAGGGCCTGTTTATATCGAAAAGGTAATTCGATAAATACAATAACCTTTTGAACCGCATATTCTTACTACAATTGATCCCTCGGTTGGTAGGTATCAATTTTGGTCTTTGTAAACCTTGTTAACGCGAGGGCGCGAGGCACGCGAGCAAACCGAGATAAAAGAGAATATCTACCTCGTTAATTTGCCAGAGGATGCCATATGTATTAAGGTGCTATGTAAGGTGAACGTGGATAATTCTGATGAGCGAGGAATTCTGAATTTCAATTCAATTACAATCTTTAAGTGTGGTAGAGCCATGCTTCGGCACGAATGGGCCGGCTCGACCGGAGTGATACCACGGCCTCACAGAAAACCGACGTGAAGCAACGCTTGCGTTGTGTTTCGTCGTGTAAGTGAGGTTACCGGAGGCCCAATTACCTTCCCCTTCCCTAATCTCCCCAATCCCTGAATCCCCAACGATCCTCAAACTCCTAATCCCCAAAAAGCCGGTGACGCACTTGTAATGCCTCTGGTGTTCCAGGTGTCCATGGGCGACGCCGATTGCTTACCATCAGGTGATCCGTCTGCTCGTTTATCGGCTTATGCCATAAAAAAAATTACTTTGACTAGTCCACAATATAAGTTACTGCTGCGGGCTCCAGTAGAACTTAAATTATGAATGTAGCTTTCAGAATACTTCAAGCCGTTGGTTTCAGTTGTCGTTTTGACCATTTCTTTAACAGTCGTTAAAACTATTCAAAGACCTAACAAGTCTAAAAAAACATAATTTCACACGCTAAAAAGCAAGTGACAAGTACAGAGTAATAACTTAAACTAATGATAGATAATTCATAAACTCAAAGTCAAAGTATAAAGTTGTATCAATGGAATGATTCTATACATATTTTATCATTCGATCCCGAGACGTCGCATTGCATCAAGTTTAATAACTTTAAGTTATTTTTAAACCATTTATATAATAGTCAGAGAAATTTGAATACCACCTCTCCGTGTAAGTCAATCCTTATTCAGTATTACGGCACACAAGCGTGCCTTCAGTTAATTAGAGAACAAAAGAGGCGTGATCACCGACAACTACAATTTTATACCTTTCTTCCCTTTGATAGAATACTTAACAGCTTGTTCAGTCGAGTCGTGAGGTGAAAATAAAAAACTTATCATTATTCATTGTATCAGGAACAAAACTACAAAACTTGTTAACTTTCTGCTAAACGGAGAAAAAGGAACATATATTTAAGAGAACGAAAGGTTTGCCCTTACAATTTTTGAACAATAATTTTTAGTATTCAACTCAAAACATGAACTGCCAATTCGAATGAACGTTTTTAAAAAAAATTCAATTCGTTTGACACTTCCCTATTCAAACGTTCGACTAACCAAGCCCACCTCATAACAGTTTGTGAACTGTTAATAATAAATACATCAGCACGGAACCCTCACAACCGCAATAATGTCATAAAGAACATTGACAATCTGTCCTCAACCCTCCCAACGCGACAGCGGATTATTATTCATCCGGGGGCCCGAATGACCCCTCACATGTTTTGACAACCCTTCGCAAAACCAATGAAATATGAAACAAAGGAACGGGTTGTGCCAGCCATTATATAGCGATTTAGGAATTCATTTTATTGGACACAAACATAGACACGTAATGTGTGGCTAATGAATAATTCAGTAGGGTTGTGTGAGGGTCGCCGCGATTTTATTTGATTGCTCTATGCTAGGTAAACGTATTTATGGATCTATTATGCAACAGTTCGAGCTATGACGAAGTTACCTTACTTTGACTATTAAAGTTGTTATTGATCTTATGTTTGATTAAAAATTGTGTTGTTTGTTAGTTTAAATTAATTTGTTGATGTTTCTAGAGACTTCTAGTTGTATGTACCTAGAGAAAATATATCAGAAATATACCACGATCTTACCTGACGGACCTGCTTATACTGTTCTTCGAAGCTCCAGCCAGCAGCGCTGCCTTCTGATGAGGAGGAGGAGGCTGAGCCTGCGGGCTGAGCCGGCGGTGGTGGAGCCGGTGCCAGGAATGCTGGCGGTGCATATGGGAATCCCCCTGTGGCCCCTGCACCGGCCAATGCAAACACACTGCCAGGGTTGGACAAAGGAGCCCCCTGGGCTAATGAGGCCAGTGAAGATAAGTGTGGATGTAAAGATGATTTCAGAGACTCGAAATCGTCGCGTACCTGGTGGAAGTAACAGTTACTTTAATATTGCTGGAGGTAACAGACGAAGAGAACGAAATCTTAATTAGAATTTTAATAATTACGACAAATGTACTGTGTCTGTATATCTGAATATTCATCCAACGATAACTAGGTTTAAAAGCACGTCTGCATAATTTGAATGTTAAAATCATGATTAATTGATACTGTTAACTTACTTTGAGTTCCCTTTCAAGAGGTCTGGGCGAGTTTCTCTGATGCTGGTGGGACAGTTGATGGCTGTTCAGCGGTTGATGCTGGACCGACCCGTGGTGGCTCATGTTGTGTGACGCTTGATGTGTCATGCTCTGGTGCTGTAATGACTGGTGAGACTGCAGCCCCTGGTGAGGCTGCATTGGCTGATGGGGCTGGTGAGGGAGGGAGCCTGGTGCATCCCTACCAACGCCCTCGTCTGAACTCTCGCAAGATTGCTCCCCTGAGGACTCTCCTTCAGATCGGGCGGACTGTAACAAAGAAAAGTAATTACATTAGATGGATTGATTTAAATCAGTTCCCAAGTATTGTTTTTCCGTTGTATTGGTACTTTATGCGTCAGCACGTGAATCTTCAGCAGATTCAGCTGAATGTCTGTATTTTATATGGCGCAACTATCATCTACAAGACGTTGTTTAGACCCATTATGAAAATTTTTTGAACTATAAACTAGTCATAACGAATCCGATGGTCGATTGTAAACATATATTTGTACATATAAGTATAAAGCTTTAGTACTTAATAAATATTCAAAGGCCAGTTATGAAACCTGAACTGAGTATTGTTGAAACATTCAAGACTTCAAAGACTACTAATAAAACCAGGAACACATTTAAGGATGTAACAAACCATAATAATATTAGATCAAACAATTATAATACAATAAAACAACCGAATCTAATTCTATTATACAAACAAATATAACATTGAAACATTATTAAATTATAATAATCGTTAACCCTGATCTGCGAGTGGGACAAATTGTACCCAAGTCTATAACTGTACATCATAGCGTAAGTACGGTGAATAAAGTTTCTGAGATAAATCATAGTTTCCCAACATAACGTTAACATAATTACAGAGCTTACATCTAGGTTTCATATGTAACTTATTTTTAAATTATAAGCGAGTGGCAGGTGCAGATCGAGACTGGTCATTTAGACCGCAATTACCTATAAATGTCGTAAGGCGTCAAACTTACCGTAAATGTTGAAAAATACTAAGATGACATGTTAAGAATACTCTTTATAAAGAACGAGATATTGTTAAAATAACGTGCTATAAATAAATGTATCGATAATTGACACAAATTGTATGAGAGTACAAAACTGGTTATTACCGACTCGTAGTTCACGCAATCGCTGAAAACTTAGTCCTGTTTGATTAATTGTCCTCTTAAAATATAAATAGCAAACATTAGATGAACATAGGCTACGTCGCACGTAGCGGAAAAGCGAGCGCTGTTTATTTATATCAGGATTTTTCCAGCAACATGATTCCTAGACCCCCGTCGGCGAACTCAGGGTTAACAACCAATAAAGCAATAACATTGTAATATGTATAATTAGTACAAACTATTATTCACCTTCGATTCGCATTTAATCTACATTTGTTTACTTTCTGATGCATACATTTAACAAACACAATTTGCCGTGAGCTTCCGTTCCCGGATTGCCGGAGGAGTTAAATTTATTCAATTATTTAAACATATTCTTTGTTTATAACGATATCGGCGGAGTAACATGTGGTGGCCGCAGTATGTCGCCTAGGGCCCGTAACATTTGCTGAAAACCAGCTTTTTAGTCAAGTTTCTGAATTATTGCAATTACAGAGACATGTTTGAACATCAACTTCAAATATACACCATTGTATGTGAACAGAAAAGGTGTTAAACGAAGCAAAATAGACGTTTAACTTCCTAGAAAGCAACTAGCTAGTAACAGAGCTAATACAATCTTGTACCGTTCTATCATTACATGTATTACAGCAATTGAGTGAATTTAATCGGATTCACGGAAATCCACGAGCGCTACCTCGGTACATAGGAATTAATGGCGGGTCTCCGCGCGTAATGCATCATTCCATTGCGAGGAACACGTACCGAGTGGCGACTATGCGAAACCAGTCCCAGTATTAATGCAGTTAAAGTTCCATCGGAATCAATATAAGGCAAGTGTTGCGACCCGCCGCGGCAATCAAATCGTTGTTCGAAATGAGCGCGTTTTGCGCCAACACAGCCCCCGGCCCACAATTACGACATTAAAATTATTATTTTATTTCCATTTTTATTTATTATTCGCATTATTATATTGTGTGGAGTTATTATCGGTGAAATGTTTCGTTCGGATAAACGCTCGCCTTCGAACGACACGCAAGCTTCCTTCAACGACCCACTGCAGGGTTCCGCGTGTTATATCAATTAATGTACAGCAGTTTATCGTGCTTCGTATTACTTGTCGGCTTTCTACCAAATTGGTTCATGTTCCGCGTTCAAGAAGTATCCTGAAAGCGGTCAGGGATTCGTGATCCCTCACGTTCTCCCTTTGTGTCTACACTTTCTACAACCAGGTATCTGAAGCACGTCGTCAATTAGCACAATCAGGCACTGAATTGTTTTATAAAATTGTTGAAGATATCAACCTAATGAAATATTTCGGTACAATTTTCCTTGAAACCTATACTTTCAAGCATCACTTTATCTCAATTCCCGAGCAGTATAATCTGGCGGTGGAAGGTCTACTCCGTTTACGGAACCCTATAATCACATCAATCGCGCTCCCGTATACACACCCTGTCATTTCATTCGACTTTTCTTTCTCATGGGTCCAGACTGCTACTGGATTCCTTCCACCTTTTATTACTTTTTAAGGTGACCGCAATTTTATTTAAACGTTATATCAATAAAATGAGCCACTTAAGGCGTTTATTTTAAGTTCGTCTACCTTAAAAGCTGCGGATTCACCAAATTCAGTGAACAAAGCAAACACGCGGTATACAACATGTTGATGTTATTATCATGTGACGAACTGTAAAAATCAACAGTTGCACGTACTGATAAGTAGGATAACGTTAGCACAACCCGCGCTAACACCAGAACAAATAGAATCGGAGCGACTTAGCTGCTGTGTTCGATCCCTCGCGTGATTTTATAATATAATATTAACTGTAACTTGTTTAGTGCCGATGAAAAGGTTCGATGTATTAGACGTGTCAATAATACCGACCGGAATTTTACTACATGTTAGCACGTCGCCGAGGAAATGAAGAACAAGCTGTCCTGCACCGAGCGGAGTGAACACTTGACACAATATTGCACCCAATTTGTAACATGTAAACAAAGCACACTGATACGTTTTAGATCGTGACCTCAACAAAGAAACGGAAAGTGAAGAATTCATCCATTGGAACCATTAAACAACCCACTTGCTTATTATTTGAACAAACAGGGAATGGACTCGGTGCCGTTCTTAGAAGTATCCCGGAGTAATACCGAGATATAAGCAGGAGGACACACCGTTGATTAGCGTCTTTTACTACAGACACGACGCCACCAAAAAGTTGCCTTAAACAGTCGGGAATTAAGCTCAATTCTAAATAGAGCATAATTTACAGCTACCGATATCAATGAAGATAACAATACACGATGAGATTTAGACGAAAATATGCTTTAACTCTTTGACACAGGTGCTTGCAGCCTGTACTATTAATCATAGTAGAAACACTACGCTTAAGATTGGACTGTCACCCGTTGAAATATGGTTGACTATTCCTGCTAGTAAACTTTCCGATATTTAATACAATGTAATATTTGTGATAGAAATCATAATCGTGTCTATGCGAGTACATTTTATGAGGCGAAATCAAATAGAAACTTGTAATGAAAGATGTCATGTGCGCTCAACATGTTTGGTCGGTATGCAAGACAAATACGTGTGGTAATAAAATATTGAACATTTAGTTGTTAATGTCGACAGAGATATCGTCGCCGTGCGAGGTGAAACCATTGATGACTGTGTGAATTAATTGAACACACGACAATTAACCAATTGGGTACATGGGCTTGAGAAAACAAGGTAAATCAATCTTATCAACTTGATAAATGACAAAACCGTCAACACAAATTAAATTTTAATAACATAACACGTAACTCAATCTACAAAATTGACTGCTAGCAAATATAGATTCATGCAAAAACTTGAGAAGCATGTTTATTTGTTTCAGAAGCGTAACAGCATTGCATAAAGGACAAAAAAGTTCATTAGGTTCCCGGCGGAGCGCGGCGTGATGGAAATGTTCGCGCATCCACACTCCCTGGAATATTTATTAGCAGGATCCGTCACGACGAGCTTTGTCCACACATTAGCAGTGTTAGCGCCCAGGATGGCTACCTGCGTGTTTACCTAGTCTGTATAGCCCCTCCATATTTGCCTAGATATCCACACATATCTGGTGTTTCGCAGAGGTCGTTGCAACATTCATTTGAGCAATGTATTGTTGACGTCGAAGGGAAATCTGCCTTCGTGTTTGCGTAATATACGAGGGAATGCTGATTGTACAAGATGCTTCATACAAATAACTTGTAAATGCAGCCATTCTGTGCCAACTGAAGACTTTCCGCGTCGTCTTATGGAGGTCCGAGGCCTCGACGATGTCGTCGATGCAAATACTAAATATGATTTGAAGAATGTAGCAATGTATTGAGTTAGAAGTAAAAATGTTATATTGAAGAAGTGTAGGGAAATGTGCGCTGGTGTGACAATGTTGCCACATTAACAGTCACACTCACATTAACATTAGCAGACATAAAATAACCGCCAATAAGCCAAAGCACGCATCAAAACGTCGACAAAGCAACAGGTTCTTGGCTCGACAAACACTCACTGTTTACATTACGATCCTGGGGCTTCATTTAATAATTCTCGGGAACTAAAAGCCTTTGAACATTTCATCAGATGACCCTCGCTGTTTGCACACACTCCTGGCTCGAGATGCTAATGTGGACACAAGGACCTGTATCGCCGATCGGCCTCCGATGCGTTTATTGTTAGCCCTTCCAATAGCTTTGGCTTCTTCTATTTCACTGCAATGCTCGATATCCTCGATATCTTGTGCAAACATGTCTCGGAATCTTTGGCGTTTTTTCTTTAGAGCTTTTTTGTTGAAATTGAAAACGCTGATTGTTTTATTCTGGATCTAAAAAGGTAGTGTCGTCAACTCAAAATTATGTAGGTACCATTTCACAAGTAATCATGCAGTCTTATTATGAGGTTGCATAAAACAGCGCCAACGTACAAATGCGCACATTAGAAACAATGCCGCATGGTGCAGGCGTGCAGTAGCGTATCAGGAAGCTACCAGTGTCACACAAAACGAGACAAGTATTTGAGCAAAACAAAAGGTGATAAGGAGAGGTAAATAACCCGAGCCATTGACGGCGTGACGGAGAGCGGCGCGCGCATCGCACTCACGC